TTAAGAGTTTTTTTTTTTTGTTAAGCTTCGTAATTTCAACTATCGATTTAAACAATTACTTTTAATCACGTAATACGAAAAGATTTCCTGACTTAATTATCTCGATCTAATTTATTTATCTTCCCGTTTGAATGCAATAACATTATTATTTATAGCCTTAATTGGGAATTAATAATTAAAAAATAAAATTCTTCTTTAAGCTATAAAATACAATTTGCGGTAACTCACTAAATAGTCAAATGTAAATATATCATTATTTAATCATTTTGAAAATAAATTTATGGGTTTAATATTTGTTTAGGAAATAAAATTATTTTATGCATATACATAAAAGTGTATGGTTTATAATTTTTTTTCTCTCTTCTCCTCACATGGCGTCATATGACTCCTTATACTTTTACACGTGTATATGAAATAAAATTATTTCATATAGCATGAGAAATATTAAACTTTAAATTTATTTTAGAGAGATCTTTTCTTCTTATTTTCACGTAATTGTCAATTTACTTCTTTTTGTTTTTAAGTTTTTATCAAGCATCTTAATTTATTAATGTCTATATTTAATGCAATCCCCAATTTAGCTTCATTATATATTTTATTCGGTTTAAAATATCTGTCCTTTAAAATTAATTAATTAAATTTTAAATAAAATGACAGAATTTTCTTTTTTTACTTTATCAATATGTACAACTAAATAAAACAAGCAAAAGTATTAATTGAGTGATAATATTTTAACAAAGGATGATTGAGTGACATTTTACTAAAATTTACTATTTAATATTTTTCTTATATATATATATATATATATGAAAAATATTTCTCAAGCAGCTTGAGATAAGTTTATCTCTGGCTATCCCAAACTACTATCGTTTTATTTATTTATTTCCTTATTTTAATTGATTTATCTTTGAATGATTATGATTCTCTTTTTCTCTCTCTTCCTTTATCACCATTGATCTTTCTTTGTACGGTTATAATTTAGTAGCAGGAGATAAGATTATATCAAACAACTTGAGAAACGATAAGCCATATATATATATATATATGTGTACGCGCGCGCGATAATATTATGATGTATATATAACTTGGCTATATACCTTGATACTTAAGAATCTCTGTATGTACGTAATAGTTAACACTTAACTCTATGACTATATTTTATACTTCTCTAATATTATCCATTTATTTTGTTAGAAAATTGAAGCGAATTTATAAAACAAACAAAAAAATGTCTAATTTCAAAGTCAAGACACGCAACAAACCTGAATAAATGTTTACTAACTGATAACCTTCCAATAAATGTCTAACGGTAAGAATTAAACCATGCCGTCTGAATCATATTGTTCAATTTTCCCAGTTGCACAAAGTCACAAACCCCAATTCGTAGTTCATATTTTTGAAAATCATTTAATAAGGGACTTAAATATTTTTTAAAAATATGAATTGAAATAAATATAAATTACGATTTGCGTTTGTTCACCGGGGAAAATTGAACAATATGGATTCGAAGGGAATGGTTTATATAATTCTTACTGTTTGTTAGACATTTATTGGAAGGTTACCTATAACCGCAAGTATTACTATGAGCATTTATTAAGACTTTGTTGCATGTCTTGACTTTGAAATTTGACATTTTTCATCCCCTTCAAATTTCTATCAAAAATAAATAAATAAAATAGATGTATGAAATAAAATTTTAATTAAAACTAATTTCCAATGTACATTCATTCACAAGAGAACTTTGAGATTTATTTGTTTATTTTTAGATTTCTAAATTTCATCAACTACTTGACTATTCCGGATGGAATTAGATAGGCCAATAAGAACAACATATTCTCTTTATTAAATTTTTTAACACAACTTTATATTTAAATTAAACTCAAATTCAGGTCAACGAGGAACCCGGAACTGAGGATGAGAAAAGCTCAACATTGTTTTAAAATCTTAGGATAAGGCTTATCAAAGGTATGAAGCGTTATCTTTTAATATATGTATAGATATATATTAAAATTATAAGTAATTCAATAATCAAATAGGGTTCTAACTTCTAATCGAGTATAATATATATACATATACATGGTTTGGTGGATCAACCCAGAGTAAATAGATTAGCCAACCTAACCCATATGCTTTGTGCATCGGTTTCCAGTGGGTTGACTAGGTTGTTGTGTCAACATAACCTAATGAAATATGTCATTCATCTTTTATATATTTTCTTTGCACAACAATAAATAACGTCCAATTGATAAACATATATACTCTCGATTTAATTACTTTAATTTTCTTATATTTCTTCTTCCTATAAAGTATATTTTTTTTTGTTCATTTTCCTGATCTCATTTTCACATATTTTCCCTTTGCTTTTCCTCTCTTATATTACTTTTTAATTTTAGAAAAATATGTGTATTTATTTTTTCTAGTAAATAATTTAAAGCTGATTTCTATATTATGCTCAGGCCAAAATAGATAAAAGGAGGAGGGGGGGGGGGGGGGGGGGGGTTGGAAAGTAAAATAAAGTCTCTCAAGTGAAGGCTTGTAAGGTTTTTTTTTTGCATCCTTTAGTTCTCTATTATTATGTTTGATTATTTAATTTATTTTCTCATATTCACTCCCTGAAATAAAGCAACATAAATTAAAAAAATTATTTTCAACTCGATCTCCGTAATTGCTTTCATTTTCTTCCGTGAGATTCTTTTTTCTTTTGCTTTATTTTCCTCTTATTCTTTTGGTGGAAGAGTGCTAGTGATGCTAAAACATACTTTCTTTTAACTTTAATTTTTTTTGGGCTGTTCATATTACTATTTTCCTCCTTGTTAATTACTAATTAATTATTACAATTTGAACAAGAAAAAAAAATCTCTTAATTAGTTTATAGAGCATGCCAGATTGTGGGGGAAGCAAACAACAATTTGATAATTGTACTGAAAGAATGAAGCACGCTTTCATGATGTAGAGCACAAGAGAACGTGAATAGTATATTGTAAGAGGCAATATAAAAATACAAGCATCCTCGTATTAAAAATTGAACAACTAGAGATAATGAGAAAATATGGTTGGATTATACAAGTATTATGGAATGTATTTGATGCCTTGTATCTTGGGGTTGCACGTTTCCTGACACCTGTATCATTCTGTTTAATCATATAATACTAAGTTTGTAATTATCAGATTAAATTATATGGGTACAAAGCACAAGGATATTTCATCTACCAAGTTAAGAAGTTATGTTTTCTTTTTCTTTTTCTAGTACTTATCTGTTATGGGAAAACTGGTATATAATGATTGGATGTTATTCCACTCCAATTGATGATGCTAACTTGAACTTTTCTCCATCCTATATTTGACTTCTCATTCTTCAAAGGAAATTCCTCCCTTGTTGATTAAGGGTACCCCCGTAAAAGCTATTTTCGTTTTCTTTTTTACCTTTGAATCTAAATGTTGTCCCCATATAGCCATTGGGTTTGTTTTTTGGATATATTGAACAAAATTGAGTAAAATTTCATATCTTTGTTGCCAATTATAGTAATTAATGGGCCACGCTCTCACTCTTTGACTTTGATGTAAAACTCAGATGATTAATTGGAGATAACACTAGTAATTTCTTTTTTTTAGTTCACTGTATTAACTAGGGACATGATCCGTTTACAATTTTTTTTTGCAATTACACTAATGTAGGACCGGTTGTACACTGTGTGATTAATGTAAGACCGGTCCTACATAGTGTAGTTTGTAAGAGTTTGTAAACAAAAAAATTTATAAATATAACCTGCCCCTATTAACTAATATTTAGAGTTGGAGATGAGGCAAAGAGTAATTTTTCAACAACTCTTAAATTGGCCAAACAATCCGTCGATCAATGCATGTTCGTTTATAGAAGTGTTGAATCATTTTTGGGAGATTTTATTTTAATTGTATAGTTCATTTCGAAAATGGTTTGGCTTAACTTTTTCAATAATTTATATTGAATTTCACTTCAAAAAATATCAAAACGAGAATTTGGATGGTTGACTCAAGTAACAATATGAGCCCCAGAGCAAATGAGTTGTCAAAAGAATAGGGATTCTACTTCTGAAGATGGTTTATCTAGGTTATTTTTTCTGCCCCACGAACATAACTCGATAACTCACTCTGAAAAGAAATTAGGATCCTAATTGAAAAATATATCGAAAGAGCATTCAAGTGAATTAAATTCTTAACATATGTTTTTATTTTAATTTGATCCAATCAATAAAGACATATATTTTATAATCAAAAAATTCAAAAAAAAGATATATTAAATGAAGAGGCATGTTATATTTACAAAAAAAATTTGTTTACAAACTCTTACAAATTATACTAAGTACGACCGGTCGTTTAGTGTAATTTGCAAAAAAAAAAAAATGTAAACGGATCATATTCCGAAAGTAAATAAAAAGAGAGGAAATATGTGTTGAAGGAAATGGGGACCCAATCAATATATAATTTTTGGAGCGAGAACGTTATATTTACAAATTTTTTGTTTATAAATTTTTACAAATTAATTACACACATAGTATAATTTACAAAAAAAATTTGTAAACGGATCATTTTCTTTTTTGGATATAATTTCTCATGTTGCAAGTGAGTGAGATCTATCAAGCTGAAGAGGGAGAAAAAAAATAAGTGAATTTCACTCGTTTTTTTATATGTTACACAGATAAATTATATAGTGCATAATCACAAACTATATATTTTTATTTTTGGTAAGCGAAATTATATTCCCTTTAACTAACTAATACTCAAATCAACAAAATGCAGAAGAAGGTGGCACCATTATGTAAACACCGAAAAGAGAGAAGTTAGCAGTGCCTCTTCTCCAAAAACCTGAGCGCATTTACTTCTCTTCATTCATTCTAATAAATTACATTTCCCCAACTCCATCCATAACCATTCCATCAACATTCAATTCATTAACCCCTCTTCACCACACACACTCACCCTCACGTGCCCTTCATGTGCCCCCTCCTCCTTCACAAACACACACAAACACACAACACACACAAAACACTTAACATTTTCATGCACAACCTTTTTTGTCTGTGTGTATCTTATTCTCTTTCATTCTCTAACAATAAACAATGGCTTCTCCTCCACCACCGTTTTCACTTAACGTGGTTGGATCAGACACCTTTCCATCAGTTTCTAGTTCTATTACACCACCAACGGTTCACCGTTCATCTCCGTTACAAAATCTGAGTCCAAGCATTCTTATTATTGTAACGGTCCTCGCCGTTACCGTTATTTTATCCCTAGCACTTTGCTTCCTTCTGCGTCACTTAAACCGCCGTTGCCTCCGCCATATGTCGGCAACCTCCGCCGCCGCAGTCTCTTCATCGGCGACGCCAATTTTCACCTCGAGCCGCCGTATCTCGCCGGAGATACCTCCTTCTTCCTCTTCCGTTATTGACTCTCTCCCTATATTCACTTTCTCCTCCGTCACCCGCCGCTCCTCCACCGCCGCTGCTGACTGCGCCGTGTGCCTCTCCAAGTTCCACCACCACGATCTCCTCCGTCTATTGCCCCTCTGCTGCCATGCTTTTCACGCCGATTGCATTGACACGTGGCTCCGATCCAACCTCTCATGTCCTCTCTGCCGGTCATCCATTGTCGCCGCCGAATCGGAAACCGCTAAGGTTCTCCGATCATCATCCTCCGCCGCGGGAAGCAGCGATAGTTTCCGGCTTGAGATAGGGAACGTGAGCCGACGAGGAACTGAGCCCGTGGCCGCAGCCGGAGGCGTCGGCATCGGCGTTGGCGGTGGCTCGAGGTCGAGGTCGAGGTCGTTTTCCATTGGATCGTTCGAGTATTTGGTGGAAGAGGAATCGGAGGTTCCGTTCAGCCACGCTCACCGGAGAAGTGTATCCGATGAGAAGGATATTCGGTTGCCGGCGGATTCTCCGGCATCTCACGAAGCAGGTCTCGCCGGCGAAGTTGCCGGCGTGAGAAGTTGGCTGAAGGAGTACGTGGATAGGTTCTCAGCTTCTGTATCGTCGCGAACGGCGTCGTTTAGAAGCTCTGGAAGGTTCTTCAGTGGTGGGAGTAGTCGACGAAACGACGTCGTTCCGGTAGGTGAAGAATATGACATGGAAGGTAACCGAATTGGGGAGGAGATTACCGAAATGTTTCGTTGGCTTTCAGGTGTATGATCGGTAAATAAGATGAACAGTTACCATAAATTATAAATTTTGATTCAATTTTTATTTTTTTTAATCATTTCAAATATTATTCCTTTGCCATTTGGCTTCTTCCCTTCTTATTTCTCTCTTTAATTTATCACGAACTTTAGGCTTTAGAACAAAATTAATGTAACTATGAATCCGTGTATTGTATGAATTAAGGCACAATAGTTCTTGGATTTGGAACATGAATTTTTTTTTATATAATCATATTATAAGATGAAAAGATACAAATGATTTTTTGAAATTACAATATTCGATCATGTATGCAAAACGCGCATCAATTATGTATTCAAATAGTTTGTATTTTTTCCACCCATAAAGTCTAATCAATTAACTTTGTTATGAATTTATCTTAATTGATAATCAGTTTAATATCTTAAATTATTTAAAGCTGTATAAAAAATACAAATGAAAAGTCAATGGCGTTAACTATTTTAATATTTTTTAATTCATGTAATTAAAAAGCAAATTAAGATCAATTTACTTAAGGATTTAATTTTTTTTAGTTGTATTTGTATATAACAGCAATTTCATTGTCGGTAGCTAGTGAAAAGCAAAGTATATTAGATGGGTTTACTGTGTATTTTCAAAGTATATAACTTATACTTTTTCATCCCTAACTATGTACCTATATATTATGGGGAGTATCTAGATAAAATATGAAAGTTGCTTTTCTTCTCTTTTTTCCCGATAAGTTTTTGAGAAAAAAAAAACTTCGATGTTATAATTATATATTCCACGTAATACATAATTATAAGTAGTGGCAGATCTAAAAAAATTTTATTTATGTTTACATATTTAGGAGTGGGGGTTCGGGGCAATGCCCCCGAATTATTATTATGTTTAAAGAAAATTTTAAATATATTAAAAATAAGAGAATATAAATAAGTGTTCCTTTTGAAAATTTGGGTACTCAACAAATATTACGGGCACAATTTAATTCCAAGGAAAAAATGTCGACTTGTGATCCTTTTAAAATTCAAAATAGACCCATGTTAGTCCTTTTGAGGGACAAATGTGGATCTTTTTTAAATTTCAAAGGGATCACGATTTCGACCAACTAGATCTATTTTGAAATTCAGAAGGATCACAAGGTGATTTTTTTTCTTCAAAAAATTAAATTGGGCTCATAATTTTTATTGAGGACTCGAAAAATACTTTACTCTTTTTTTTATCCCGGGCACAAGTGCAGGTCTGCCTAAAATGACATAAGTTTATAATCTTTAAAAAGTTCCCATATTAATTATACAAAACTTTAGGGTCTGTTTGATAGTATTTTAATTTTTTTTGTTCTTAAAACTGTTTTGTATAATACTTATAGAAACATGTGTTTTTTTTAAGGTTAAAAGTCAAAACACAAAATAAAAATAACTCAGACATGTTCTCAAAATTTAATTCTAAAAACAAAAAGTAGTTACACTCTTTAAAACTTTTTTTTTTTACAAAATAAACATTGTCTAATGGGATGTTTTATTTTTCATTCTGAAAACCAAAAACTGTTTTTGAAACATTATTTAAACAAGGACTTAGATTCTTTTGTTTTGTTTGAAATTGGAAAATATGTTTCTCATGTATAAGATAATTTTAGGGAAAAGTGTGTATCATTTTGAAGGATGTAAAGTTATGTCATTCTAAATAAGAGAAAAAGATAAATAAAAGAGGAGAGAGTGGACAAAAAATTATAAAGGTGTGGGTCCCACCTCTTTGTGAGAGTGAAATGACATAAGTTGTGTTATTTAAGAGGACAAACATTTTTTCCATAATTTTATCTCATACACATACAAAAAATGGATGAGACCTGTTAAGAACCTTGAGGTCACCATCTCAAAAGCTAGCTCAAGGGGTGGGACTGCCCAAGTCCTTATAAAGGTCATATTAGTTTCTCATCCAATCAATGTGGGACTATATATCTCAACGCGCCCCCTCACGCAAGAGCCCTTTAGGCTAGAGGCGTGGAAATTGCACAGGCCCATTTTTGGTTTACCTTTTTTTTTTATTTTAATTCCACTTTTTAAAGCGGGGGACGGTGAGGCTCTGATACCATGTTAAGAACCTTGGGATACACCACCCCAAAAGCTAGCTCAAGGGGTGGGAGTGCCCAAGGCCTTATAAAGGCCATATTAGTTTCTCATCCAATCAATGTGGGAGTATATATCTCAACAAGACCCACTTTTTTTTATCTCTCTGTTCTTCAATTGGGTCTCACCCTTTTTTTGTGTGTTGCATTAGATAAAATTATCCGTTTATTTGATCCAATAATTAATAACAAAAATAATTGTATGCAAAATATGTTACACACACACATATATATATATATATATTTATATATATATAAAAGAAAGTCATAAAAATAAAAATGTGTTAACTTTCTTATGCAAAAATCTATTAATCTAGAAGTATAACTGATATGGTCACCAAAAAGAAGAAGAAGTATATATAGCTGATATTTATTTTCCATAATATGATAGTGCTATAGTTTTAAACAAAAAGAGGGAGTTCTATACAAAAAACAAAAAAAACAAAAAGAGGGAGTAAAAATCTGATATACAAGTTTCCTTTCTTCAGATATAACAGCTTCTGTAAAACGGTATTTGGATTTTACTAGGAATGTGCCTTATGTTCTGTTAGTGACGATTTTGTACCAAAGAATGCTATTAGTCCATTATTACCTAATTGTGGTGATGTTAGAAAAATATTTGGCTTTGATACATAAAAGAAAGAAAGGACATTGCTTTGTTCGGTGATTTATGCTGCTTTTGGATGACATAAATAAATGAGAGTAATAAAGCAATGGGGTTTCATGTGAGTTTGATGAACGCATGGAATTAACAGGTAGCTGCTCATTTATTGTAGATTACCAACCATTTTAATGGATAAGGTCCTACTTCTGCCTCAATTTTAATTCGTTGTGCTACGTTTATTAATGTTGATATATGACAGGGAAACGAGGTATTGATGATCCCATATATAACATGATACTGAGATCTTTTTTGCAATAACATAGTCATATAGATTCCTCAGTTGATTTTGTTTATTTATTTTCTGAAAAAAAGTAATATATATTACATATACTATATTTTGTCTTCTGTGAATGAATAACATAAGCATGTGCACGTCGTTATTTCGTTCGTTAATTAACTAGACATTATATTTCTACCCTTATCTTGTTTTGTTTTGGTTCTAGATCGTTTTTTTTTTTTTTTTTTTTTGGTTTTAGATCGTATTTCAATTCTAATCAAGGGAAAACTAACTCATCAAGCAAAATAAAAATAAAAATAAAAATTAAAGAGCATGAAAGTTTCTATATATTATAGAGATAAAAAATGGAAAAAATGTGACATCGTATTGTGTATCATGTCCAAATTTATTGTTTGTTGAATAAAATTAAGGGGATATTACTCTCATGTTACATGAAAAGAAAAATTCTTTCATGCATTTACAAATTAGAGAAGACTGGAGAAAGAATAGAAGAGAGAAAAACAAAATAGAATGAGCCCACGTTTAATTTATAATTGTATGAGAAAATTTCTCAAAGAGAAATCATGAGAGTAATATTCCTCCTAAAACTAACGTAAATAACCCTATTTATTATCAATTTTCATTTTCTTTTTATTTCCCGAATGAATAAAAGGTTCATATTGTTTTTTTTCTAAGGTTAGATATGACGTTTCAAGCTGGTTCGTGAAATCAATAGGTGTTTCCTTTTTTCTCTTTTTGGATTGTCTAGGAATCTGGATTACTTGTTGAAACGGCAAACGTAACTGACATGCCAAATGAAAAAATTATTATAAGTTTAAAAAATATGGACTTTGATCCAAGAAAGTAGATGGGAGATTTGCTTTCCCTTCCTCACGAACTTTGTTTTTTGTTAAAAATTATACTCATATCCAAGATAAGATCCATATGTTCAATATATGTATTAGATTAATGTTGCAAAGTCCTAATATATAAATAATGTTTAACTCAGGTAATCTCAACAAAAATAAATTAAGTGGGTCGCGCACTTAATTCAATCCCACAAGTAATGAGTTTTTTTTTTCTTGGTTTGTAAAAGCATTTGGACTATATGGCATTAGTAATATGTATTATATATTAAGAATATGCTTACCTAAATACACTTATGCACGCATTTCTTTATATTTCTATAATCTTCATGCTTGATACGCGCGCTTTTTCTTCTCTATTATGAAACAAAAGAAGAGTATTTACAATGTAAATATCATAACGTCACGTTCAGTCAAAAAATGATGTATGGTTGACTTGGAAAACTAACGAGAATCCTATTCCATCTTTCTTCTTTGTCTTTTATCTCTTTTATTCTTATCTTGTGTTATGGTGAACAAGTGACGCAAAAGGTATGAAAGTTATTACACCTGTTTTGAATCGGTTGACTAGGTTAAGTGCTTTGATCACCTAACTGATTCATTTTGAACCTGCTTTACTTTGGTCAATTTTTTTTTTATATTATTTTAACTTAATCTATATCAAGGATAGTTTCTTACGGTAATCCAAATTATGCCGAACCTAAAATAAAACTGCGTGAAAGATAGAGGAGACAACGTGCTTGAGGGACACTGTTACGGGCTCCAATGTTACACAAGGGATTGGGTTAAGAGATAGGAAGGGATTACTACAGTCCAAGAGGCTTGTTGATTATATAGTGGGCTAGGGTTGCTTAAGGCCCGTTTGATATGGCTAGGGCCCATTTAATACCATCAGTACTGCTAAGGCCATTTACTATTGCTCAATGATTGTGACCTATATATGTCACGCATAATGAATGAAGAGGTATGTTTTGAAGTAAATTTTTCTCTCTCTCTCTAACCTCCTTTTCTCTCGTCTCCCCTCACCACTCTATTCTCTCTGGTTACATTGGTGCTTTCATCGACCTTACTCATGGCAGAAAATACACGCCTCCGTGACGTCACACAGCAGATCCAAGATCTGCAACAATCCCGCCAAGCGGT